TGAGGGGCGACAGGGAGGGTCCACGTGATCCCTGCCTCAGGTTTATACTAAGAACACTGTATGATTGGCTAAAATGAAGAATGGTTTCCACTGGCCTTTTTCTCAGAAGAACCCAGATTCCACGAGGACGAGTACCCCATGCAGCAGGTAAGCATGGGGACTCCGCTTTGGTCACTCTGGCCCTGGGAGGTGTTACAGCCTCTCATACTGGGCATCTCCCATCTCCGAGCCCCAGATGATGAGACAGAGGTGTTGAGAAAGAGCCCTACTGCAGCCCTCAGCAGAGTGCCCACAAGTGGAACACGGATCATTTCTGTCACACCTACAACCTGCAATTCCAACCCCAAATGAGACGTTCTGCCCAGGACTCTGCAAATGTACCCATGATCTCGAGCCATAAATCTTTCCTTGGACTGGTTTTAATGGGGTGGGGGGAGGGGAGTGAAGGGGTGGGGGTGCGCTTCTAGCGCAGGTAGAGAAGGCTAGTTTTCGGATCCTTTTCTTGGTCCCCAGTGTGCCTTAGCCCCCTAATTAACGTTCATGCTGCCATTTCTCCCGCTTGCTCTCGGCCTAGAAACGACTTATCTTCACAGCACTCAAAAAGATCTCATTCAGCCCTTTCCCCTACTCATCAGGAACACTACAGAAGGCAAAGACGACTGGACGAACTTGGCTCACTCAAAAACTTTAGGAATTTAAACCACATCAGCCAGGCATGGAAGATGCTCACGGGTGAGGAACATGGTAGGCACGAAGAGGTCTAAATACACAAAACACGTCCATAGAGGGGCCGAGAGCCCGCAGGAGACACACACGCAGATCCTCGAGCACACACATAAGCATAAATAGGTGCCCTGCTCGAATACAGCTAGCCAGCAAATATATGCAGGATTAGTGCTACCGCTGCTGGAAACCCAAAATGGGAGGGCGGCTGGCTCTGCGCCACCCACCAGGCAGTTGGGGTGCGGGGATGTGAGCCGGGGGGACGGTGCTGGATGCTTGGAGGCTGTGGGTGGCGTTAGGAAGGACACCTCACTCCTGTGCTAAGTGACATGTATTCTCTCTCTGTACCTGCTGCTCCTGGGAGGTGGGAGTTAGAACAACTCGGTAAGTGGGGTTGGGAAGACACAAGTGGGCCACATGATTAACCCAAGGTCGGCGGCAGGCCTGGCATCTGGACCAGGTGACCTCCAGCTCTGACCATTGGCTTACCCCCACCCTCACAGAAAACAAAGAAGGAAATCATTCATTCCTTTGTGTTCTTTGCACATATTCACTGGCCACGCACTGGAGGAGACTCCCTCTTGGTTCCTGATAGAAAAATCATTAGCCATGGAGAGCCATCTGCAGTCTCCTCGGAAGACAAAGTGAGCCAAGGAAGGCTCTTGGCAGGCCAGCAGCGCCCCTGCTTCCCTGCAGATGCACAGAACCCTCCGGCCTCCTTCTCCTCATTCTAGAACTGTCTGCTCCAGAGGAAAACGGCTCACTCTGTGGATAGCAGAAGGGCATCGAGCTCCCATGGATGGGTTTCAACAGAGCACATGGCCAACTGTTCCTGTAGAGAAGAAAGCTCCGAATCATTCAGCAAGGATGTTAAACATCAGTAGTGAGGACCTTGGACATAAATGACATTGGTGAAAGATTCACTCTTTGTCAGGCTCCTGGCTGTGCACCTTCCAGTTTCCGAAATCTACACAGTCGGGACTACCTTTGCCCCTGTGTCACGCCAAGGAAATTAGTGTTTGCGGACTTGACCAACTCAGTCTTTCAGACTGGAGTGCACTCTGCATCTGCGCTACACACCTTTCTGGAGACTGCATGCATGCCACATGGAGGTGCAGGGACAGTGGTGTCCCCATGCAAGGCGGAACTCACGGCGGCTCCGTTAGCGTGAACCCACAGCCAATGACCCACTTACGTCAATCCATAGTCAATGCGTGCATTTTTAGCACCATCAGAGAAAAGGGCCTATCCGGTCATCTTCACAACGCCAGCCCCAGAGTAGCACTCCCAAACCCAGGCCTATTGTGCGGGCGGTGAGGGCCGCGGGTTTCCCACCCCCGTGGCCCACCAGGGTGCCCTAGCGAAGAGCACTGCCGGGGAAGGGCAGGGTGTGGGCCCTTCAGCCCTTGTCCCACTCCAGAAAACTGAAAGTCACTTCCAGGGTGATGGAGGCCGGGGCGGGGACTCAGGTGGCGGTAAAGCCTGGGGTCTTGCCAGGACAGACTGAGTTTCAGAGCATCAGCTGCGGGGGATGGCCCCGATCTGGGGGGAGAGGGGTGCTGGCGGGCACACCTTACCGTTTGTGCTGGGTCTACACTGGTAAAGGACAAAATTCAACCGAGTAGGTTTGAAAATCTAATTGGCTTTCTCAAACGATTCATGAACCGGGCAGCGTCCCATCCAGCAAGCGGAGCCATGGTGTAAGGAGTTGTAGGAAATGAAAGTTTTCATAGGCAGGAGGGTGGGGCAAGAAGTTGTGAGCAAGAGAAGAGAGAGCATTGTTTGAGGCCAGGACAGCTCTGGGGGGGGGGGCGGTAGGGCTGCGGGACAGGAGGCGTGATGGCTTTTACCATTCAGATGACCTCACCAGCGCCGCTCGGGAAATGTCAGATTGTGAAAAGGTCACATTCCTGGGAGAGGTCGAAACTGTAATTAAGTCTGGGTTTGCTGTCATGGGGAGCAAATGACTCCATCTGAGCTTGTTGTTTCTTCTTAACAACGTGTGTGAGTCAAGAGGAGCTTCTGCCCAGGAAGGAAGGTGGTGTCCACAGGCTTTGAGGACAGAGGCTGAGCAGAGGGACGCGCTCCACTGGCCTCGGCGACAGCTGCTGCAGCACTGCAGTCCTTGGTCTGGCCAGGACAGGCGCACACCGGGCCCTGGGGGAAGGTGCAGCGCGCGTGGGGGGTCTGCGGGCGCACAGCCTGGAGACCCTGATCCCGCGGGGACTTCCCTCCAGCACTCACCCCGAGGCTGGACTTCCAGCAGGGAAGGGACCCAGGACGTCTCTGCTCTGTGCCGGGCAGCCCAGCGTAACCTCCTGTGCCTTCAGAGATCCTTTAGGACTTCGTGGGAGACGCTCCCGAGGGAACCAAGGAATGAAAGAAGAGCACAGGGCCCAGGACTGCCTTCCCGGCCCGCAGGAGACTTCGCAAATGCCGCTAAAATCACAGTAGAGAACTGGAGTCCGATGTTTCCAGTCAGTTCGATCTGTGCATCCTGAGTTCTCTTTCTGGGCTTTCCCCTCCCTCGTTTGGGGTCTCCTCTCAGAAAACAGAGGAGGTGAGGAAGAGTGGCGAGGCCCAGGGAGCTCACGGGTCCGCACGGAGTTGGCCAGCCCTTCCCAAAGTGGTAAGGGGAAGAAGCCAGAGGGACTTGAGAGAGAGCGAGACCTTGAGAGCACAGGAGGGCTGTGCCATCTATCGAGGAGACTTTTTACCTGCAGTTCGACGGGCCCCGGGCCGGACAGAGGTCCAGGTGGAGCCGAGTCCAGAGTCCCCCGGGGCCGGGAGGGGCTGGGGAGGGGCCACCTTCCAGAGGATGCCTTCCTGCAGGCAGCCCTGGTTGGGGCCTTACCCTGCCACTCGCCACTGGGTGACACTGGCCACACGCAGAGACAGAACTGTTATTCCCCTCCCAGCCGCAAAGGTGACTTTCTTCTGTGGTGTGACCCATCTCGAGTTCCTCTGAACACCCCAGACCCAAGACGAGAAGGCGAATCAGCCAATCTCAATTTCCCACCCCCGTATGCCCCTTGCTTCTCACTAGGCAGTGGCTGGAAGGAAGGTGGTGCTGAGGGACCCGGGCGTCCTTCTCCCTCCTCACAAGGCAGGGGGACGCTCCCCCAGCCTCAGCCGCCAGACACCCGCTTCCCTTCCCAACAGGCCCGTCTGAGTCTGGCGTGCCTGAGTCCCGAGTGCCCAAGGGTGGCTCCCACATTGCAACACTGTGTAGAAAACCAGGACCGTCCTGGGGAGGAGGAGGTGGGACCCCCTCTGCCCCCAAAGCTGGCAGGCTGTGCAAGGGGCTGTGGTTTCTAATTTAAATTCTCATTTCTTTTTCTATTTTGAGACTCTCCCTGGGATTTCAGGAATGTTGAGACGGGCTGGTTGTAAAACGCTGAGTACGGACCGGCCACGCCGGCTGGAGACAGGAGCTCCAGGGTGGAAACTAACGCACCAATCGTCAGGCCTGGCCTCTGGGTCTTGGGGTTGAGGTGCGGGGGGGCCCGGGAGAGAGGACGATGCGCTGGTCTACCAGACTGCTGGATGCGGGCTAGCCAGGAGGGGGCTTCGGGTGACCCCATCATGCAAACGAAAGTCAGCCTTTAAATGAGGTTAAGCTCCAGGGAGGGACAGTAAATAGGACAAGCAGCCCTGCAGATAGAAATCAAGTGTGTTTGGTGTTGCCATGAAGCGACAAAACGAAGCCTCGCTCGGAGAAATGCATTCCATTTGGGAAGGCCAGCTCCAGCACAGCTGAAGCGGCCCCTCGACTCAGCCAGGCGGGGAGGGTGATGGATCAGGGTGGCCAGGGGAGCGAAATGGTGCCCTGAGATTTCACGGGATCCGGTGCCAACCCCGGGACGGGCCCAGCCCGACCTCAGGCGGGGGAGCGCGGCAGGCCTCTCGATAGGAAAACGGTCTGACCTCCGTGCACCCTAACGTCTAAGGATTTCTCACACATTTAAAGATGTTTTGCCTATTTTTCTACCTCCCCGCCCTGCCCCCCATGAGGCTCTGTGGTACATTTCTGGTTCTTTTTTAACCTCTTAGCTTGTAGAAAGGGCATTTCGGTCTCTAGGGACCCTGCCTGGCATTAGGTTGATTGGGGTGGTGGCGGATTATCAAATTAAAACTGAATGGTAAACAAAGAAAAGGGCATTTTGTGTTTTCTTGGCTTAAGGACAAACAATAAAGTCTGACTTGATAATGTTGGCAATGTTCCTGGTTTTCTGGGTCAGACACCAACCAAAGAGAGGCATATATTGGAGTCCTACCCGCACTCCCATGTCGGAGGCCCATCCACGTTCCGCTGCCCGCCCAGGGCACAGTGAGGACAGACCGGCCACGCCACCACCAGGGCTCCCTCGGGCAAGGAGTTAAAGGGGTTTCTCTTCAAAAACTTCGCATGTTGATGAGACAATGAGTCAGGAAGCATTGGATTCAACTTGCTTGCAGATAAGCTGCTGGAGATTTTCAAATTGGAGTCTGGCACCCTGTGTATATAAAAAGTCACCGACTTGTGTCTATTCAGAGCTATGAATTTCCGTGATACTAGAGTATCTTCTTTCTTGAGAGAGAAAGTGCTAAATATTTAAAGGCTTAAAGTGGCCAGGAAATTCATAAGCTCACATTCAAAAATAATTTCATTCCATTCTAAAATTAGAGGTGGAAAAAGTCAAGAGAATCAAAACAAGTTGTTACAATGAGGACTAACGTTGGATCAAGTCTTGGTGTTTGTTCCTTTCAAATTCGTTTTATTGATTCTTGATAAGCCCTCACCACCTCCCACCAGAGCACCGGTTGCACAGTGGTTCCCAGAGATGGGACGACTTTCCCAGAAGACTTCTCACCACAGCGGGGAAGGGGCCTGGGCCTCTGAGCCTCTTCCCCCACTGGAATGCAAACTGCCATTCTGGGAATGTCAATTGCTGCGTGGCTGATAATTTCATGCTTTTGCTGTTGGAAGAAGCATTCAGGAAATGTGCCTCAGGCATATTTAGTTTGTTGAAAAACTAAGAATGTCACATATATGGTTTGGCCACCTACTTGGCACTGGGAACTTAATATAGCATTGTTATTTTTCTACGGAGCCAGAATGCTAAAGTTGATAGCTGAAGAGTTCTTGGATATGCTTCAGAAAGAAACATCTACATTGGACGCTGAACGGCTCTATAAAGGAACAGCAAAAGCAGAATATTTTTCATTTTCTAGAAGGCATTGAAGGGCACTTAAAAAAAAAAAAACTATTAATAGACCCGCATGCCCAAGATTCACATAATATACTAGTGTCCTGAGCAAATTTAAAAGGTGCGGTTCCTGGCCCACCCTGCTGGTCTCTGGGCCACAGTTAACAGCTGGGCACGTCTGGGCTGGCCTGGGCTGGGCTGGGCACTGGCGTGTAGAGATGCACGGACTTGATATGTAATGGTCCTCATGATTTCTTCATCACGTGTCTTGGAGCAAACTACATGTATGTACACATATTTTTCCTTATGTGAATGAAATATAATTGATTTAACAATTTTCTCCTGTTGACAAATATGTAGGTTGTTTCCAATCCAATGGCCCCCAAACCCAAACTCTCATTGGCATTTGCAATTCCCCGAGACCTGAGCATTTTCATACGTGTTATTATCCACCCATATTTCATTGTCTGTGAATCATCTACTTATCTTACCCATTTCTTTTTTTTTTTTTATTTCACTCCTTTCACTGTTCTGATGATTTTGTAGGCACTCTTTATATATTCTGGATACTATTCCTTTGCTTGCTAATATTTTCTTCCTATCTGTTACTTGTCTTCTCCAAATTTTTCAGAATGTTTCTTCTGCACTTTCTTTTGCATGTAGACTTGATATTCAGCTTGCCAACTCAAAAAAAATCTTATTTGGATTCTGGCTGAAACAAATTTGTGTTATTTGGGAAGAAGTGAAATCTTTATGATATTGAGTTGTCCCTTCAGAAGAATAGTATGTCTCACTGTTTATTCAAATTGTTTATGTTTCTCTTTAAGGCTCACATGTAGATTTCTGACAGATGGCCTCTACCAAGTTAAGGAAATATTTTCTGTTAATTCAATTGCTCACTTATTTGGGAGAGAGTGTTGAATATTTTTTTTTAAATTTATGTATTTATCTGAGAGAGAGGGCCCGCAAGCATGCTCAGTGGGGAGGGGCAGAGGGAGAGAGAGTCTCGAGCAGATGCCGCACTGAGCATGGAGCCTGATTCCAGGCTTGATCTCAGGACCCTGAGATCACAACCTGAGCTGAAACCAAGAGTCAGATGCTTAACTGATTGCACCACCCAGGCGCCCTGAGAATGCTGAATATTTTTAAATATTTTTCATATCCGTTGAGAGAATATATGGTTTTTCTCCACTAAGGGAGTAAATTTTATCAGCAGATTTTCTCATATGGAAACATCCTGACTTTCCAGGTATAAACCCTAATTGTTCATGACATTTTACTTCTTTATTACACAATTAGAAGCATTTTATTTAGGATTTTCACGTTTAGGTTCATAAGTGAAATAAATCTGTGATTTTTTTTTTCTTGTCCTGTCTCTAGTTTTGGGTATAGACTATACTAGCTACATACAGTTAGAATGTATGTCTCATTCTCTATTTACTGGAGATACATAAGGTGGGGGCTATTTATTCCTCCAAAGTTTGGTAAAACCCATACATACCCATGGTACCAAAGGCTTTTGTGTCTTGGTCCATCTGGACAGCTGTAACATAATGTGTGGCTTATAAACAATATAAATGTATTGCTCACAGTTCAGGGAGCTAGAGGTGGGAGATCAGCTTACCATCATGTCTGGGTGAGAGTCTTCTTCTGGGTTACAGACTTTTCATCGTATCCTCACACGGAGGAAGTGGTGAAAGAATTCTATGCACTCTCTTTCATACAGACACTAATCCCACACGAGGGCTCCACCCTTGTAACCTGATCACCTCCCAAGACCCCACCTCCTGATACTATCACTTTGGAGGGTAGGATTCCAACATGTGAATTTTGTGGGCACACAAACATTCAGACCATAGCAGTGGGTGCTTTCTCACAATAAGCTGGGGGCTCTAACAGGCTACGGACTCATGTACTTTCTCCTGCTCCTTTGATTTAAAGTAAAGTTGAAGCTTTAGGAGGACTCCACCTCGACAGGGTGGCGTCACTAACATAATGGTTTAGATTTCTTTTTAAAAATTTTTTTAAAATTTAAATTCAGTTAACAACATAGAGTACATCATTAGTTTCAGATGTAGTGTTCAATGATTCATCAGTTGCTTATAACACCCAGTGCTCATCACATTACGCACCCTTCTTAATGCCCATCACCCAGTTACCCCATCCCCCCACCTACCTCCCTTTCCGCAACCCTCAGTTTGTTTCCCAGAGTCCAGATTCTCTCATGGTTTTTCTCCCTCTCTGATTTCTTCCCATTCAGTTTTCCCTCCCTTCCCCTATGATCCTCTGCACTACTGGAGGGGATTATGCTAAGTGAAATAAGTCAGTCAGAGAAAGACAATTATCATATGGTTTCACTCATATGTGGAATATAAGAAATGGTTTAGATTTAAATTTGCTTATACAATGGGAGATAATGGGTGGGGGCAGAAATCACACACAGTCAAATCCTCACTACTCAGAATGTGGTCCATGGACCAGTAACACCAGCATCGCCTGCAAACCCATCAGAAATGCTGAGTATCAGGCCCACTGAGACCCTCTGAGTCACCCTCTGCATTTGAACAAGGTCCTGAACAGATGTTCAGACACATTAAAGTTTGAGGAGCTCAGATGGAGAAGGTTCCACAACCGATTACATGAGCTGTGAACATTCTCACTCTGTACTTTAAAAATCGAAACTGTAAATTGTCAGCGGAATTATAGGTGTGGTTCATATAAGAAAGATGTTGTGGGTATCCACTCAGCGGACCCACTTTCAAAGAAAAGGCTTTGACCTACATTAAAAGACTGGTGCGTGAATATATGTTTTTATGTTTTTGATTAAAGTAAAATGTTTGAATGTGCTACGGTGAGCGCTGTGAATTGTGCAAGACTGATGAATCACAGATCTGTCCTTCTGAAACAAATAACGCAACATATTTTAAGAAAAAAGAAAAAGAAGAAGATAACAGGAGAGGAAGAAAAGGGGAGTATGTCAGAGGGGGAGACGAACCATGAGAGACGATGGACTCTGAAAAACAAACTGAGGGTTCTAGAGGGGAGGGGGGTGGGGGGATGGGTTAGCCTGGTGATGGGTATTGAGGAGGGCACATTCTGCGTGGAGCACTGGGTGTTATGCACAAACAATGAATCATGGAACACTGCACCAAAAACTAATGATGTAATATATGGTGATTAACATAACAATAAAAAAATAAAAAATAAATAAAGTAAAATGTTTGAGGTCTGTAACGACCTTTTTTGATGATTCCTAGCTTTGACACACTTCATCAAACCAACTGCCTACAATCTGGACTGTATCAGGTAAGGGGGATTCTACTATAATTTATGTTTTCCCAGATTACCATTATATTTCATCTAGACTCTCAAGCATGTTGACATAGAGTGGTATTCAATTATAATCTTTTTCAAAACTATAGTGATGGACATTTTACGCTTCTAATGTTTTCATTTTTACTTGTGTATTGTTTTTGTTCTGTTTTGTTTGCTTATTCAGAGTAGTCAGAGATCTGTTTAAATTATTTTTCATTTTCAAAGCATTATCTTTCATTTTGTTTTTTTTTAATCTTTTTTTTTCTTTCACTAATATTTAGTTTTATTTTCATTATTTTCTTATTCTACTATCTTTGGGCTTTTTATTCTTGTTCGGTCTCTCCTGTTTTCTAACACTGGCATTGAGAGCTACAAATTTTCCCCTGACAATTGTTTGATATGGTACTCTCACTAACACTTATTCTTAAATCCATTAAACTAATAAATTTAGTTTTTATTTTCTTTTTATTTTAAAGGGTGTTTTTAAATCCTGAAAGAACCATTTTACCAAACTTTCAAATATAATTTCTGCATTTTGGGATTTTTTAAGATAGTCTTTGTGTTCTACCTTAGCAACAATTTTGTGAATGTTCCATTCGTGTTTGAAAAGAAGGTGTGGTCTCTGCTGGCATAACAGAAATGTGTCTGAGTGCACAGATTTATATACATATATAATCAAGCCTGTTAATTACACTACTCCAATCTTCTCTGCCCTTTCTTAGTTTTGTCTACCCTGGCATAAACAGGCTCACCCACTATTCCCTTCCACTTATACTTGTCCACACACCCTGAGTCTTTTAGGGGTAGTAATATGGCCAGGCTAGCAGATGAGTCATGCTTAAGTTTAGACCAGCATTGGTCAACAGAGGCTTTGCTGACATCTTTGCTTCTGCTTGGGATGTTGGAACAGAACATCTAGAGCCATGGCAGCCATTCTATGACCATTAGGCATCTTTATTCATTTTATAGTCTGTTTGCTCACAAGACTTTGTGTTGTCTTTATGGTTCTCTTGTATTTATTTCCATTTTGCTGGCGTATGGTTCTTTTTTAAAGAATCCATCATAGCTGGTCCATGGGTGGGACATTTTCTGAGTCCCTGGTGCCCATGCGATGTCTGTTGTTTGCCCACCGTTTCACACTGACCTTGGGCCTAGCTCCCCAGCCCTCCTGCCTTCACAGCAGCTTCTGCATTTGTTCTGCTCCAATTTTGTTTTTCCATAGGATCTGATCCATCTGCCCACATTCTGTCTTCCACAAATTGTTCAAAAGCTCTCCTATGCTTTTGGCACTCTTGCTTTCCTGTATTACCAAGGACCTATTCTTCTAAAAAATTTCTTTTTTTTTTTTTTTTGGTCATTTTGTGGGAATTAAGGCTGAAAAAAGGAGAAGTGAGAGCTCAGTCATGGTAATTCAATATCAGAAACTTTTAGCACAGACATCAGTAATTCATTCTTTTTTTTCCCTCCTATTTATTTTTTTATTTTATTATGTTATGTTAGTAATTCATTCTTCACAAATTTATAGGGAAATACTAGTCTTTGAATGATTCCGCTGGGGCTCAGGGATTTACTGACTGCGGTTCTGTGTTTTCCTCCCCTGGGCTATGTTTTACGTTCCTCATGGGGCTAACTCTCTCTTATACCATTTAAAATGCATGCTTCCTTCTAAGCAGGTGTCCAGCCTAAACAAAGGAGTGAAGCTCGAATACACATCCCACCAGACAGCAGGGCACGCCTGCCACCAGCAGCTCTTGGGTGTGGATTTGACTGCAGCACATTGCACACCTGTCTCGATTCTCAGGCAATATTTTCCTGAAGCAGAACTCTGGTCTCACAGGGACACCCCAGGCAGCTCTTGTTTCCAGTGGAGAATGTGAGGAAAGCAAATGACGGAGCCACGGAGGCCCGTACCCATGGCTCCGGCCCTACCAGGGCTCAAGCAGACAGCCCCAGACTCCGAGGGGTCAGGACTCTGAAGAAGCCTTGCTAAGGGGGTCAGGGGCTTGAGTCCGCCCTCCCGGTGTTGGCCAGAGCCCGCCATGGGGCCTCTCCAAGCCTCGTGTCCTTCAACAGTGAGGTGACCACTTCATGGAGCCACTGTGAGGCCTGCATGCATGGTGCTCAGAGCTGTGGCCACACTCACAGCCTCATGGTCCAAACGAAGCCTAGAAGCTTCCATGGTCAGCATTCACATGCCAACCACCTGAGCACCTGTGTGAACATCAGTCTTTAAAAGCAGCCGTCTACAGGTACACAAAATACAGGCAAACACTTGGCAAACTACACGCGGGTGTATGTGTGTGTTCATGCCTTCATGTATCTATGCTTATATGTGTGTGTTCAGGAATGTGTGTGTGCATGTTCATCTCCTGTGTTTATGTGTACACGGGTGTGCGTGTATGCAGGTGTGTGGGAGGGTGTATGCCTGGGCACATGATCACACATGAGCGCGTGTGTATGTGTGTGTTTGTACATGTTCGGGGGATGGTGCACGGGCAGCATAGAGCATCTCGTTCCTCCAGCCCACCCTCAGCCTCACAAAGTTTCTCAGCTTACAGAAATCATTACCCTCTTTGTCAAGTGCAGCTTTGCCGGTGCTCACTCACCCAGTGTCCAAAGGGATGCCCCGGCTGTCTTTACAGGGTTTGCATTAGCATAAATATTACATTAGTGGGACCGGTTAGAGTGTGTTTGTCTCTCAAGAGGCTCTGCAACACGATCTTGAAACACT